TTGTAATAAAAAAATATAACAGTCTCATTGAGATCACCTAGAAAGAGAGAGAGAAAGCGAGCTCGACCAGAGAGAAGAAAAAAAAAATCGCCGACAACAAAATCGAAGCGAAAGTGAGCAATAACGATTCGCTATAAAATATCGGGAAAAAAATATACAAAGTAAAGTGAAGGCGATATGCCGAACCATCATCATTCCCGTTTCCATTTGTCGACCATGGAGAGAAGGAGAACGAGTATGTACTTTTCATAGAATAAATGAAATTTTGCTTTTTTTTCCCTTTGGTGTGAGGGTTTTTAACATCGTTGTCCACAGTTGTGTGAGCGTGGCCCTTCAGCGAAAAATTTATGCACAATTTTTGTACACAACAACTGTTTGCGTTTGCACAAACCAAAATCACCAATTCAACAACGTAGTACATATCGAATATCCGGTTCGGAAATTTTTCCCCTTTTTTACGATCACATTTATTTGAATTTTATTTGCTTTGCAGCTTTTATTTTATTCTATAAAATTCCACTGAAGCATTTTTCGGGAGTTTGGGGTTGACTGGAAGAGATGGAGAGAGAAAGAGTCGAATGTTGAATGTTCTGCGCAAAATGCCCAACGGAAAAGAAAAAAAAAACATTGAAACAGAGCACAAAAAATACTCATTATTAGCTGAATTACGGAAAGCATTTTGTATCTTTATTGCATTTATTATTTGAATAAAACGAACTTTTATGGATTCATTTAATTCCATTTTAAAAACCGTTTCAATCATTTTGGCGTTTTTTCCATCTCTCTCTCTCTCTCCTTCTCGTTGTCGTCTCCTTTCATTGAATCATTCGAATGAATGGAAAATTTGGAGTTTTAGTCGTTTTTGGAATGTGCGTAGGTTCCTTGTGAATATTTTCCATGTTTTGTGTGTGTGTGTTGCGTCTATCTGACCACGACGATTTATCCGACGCATCATCTTCATCTCATTATCATTTGCATTAAACAGTTGGTTTCGTTCGCTTTGCCTCTCTGCTCTGTCTGTGCCTTTCTCTGCTCATCTCTCGGGAATCTTTTCTACTTACAAATAAGACACTAAACGTAAATATTCAATAATAAATAAAAGCGCCCAACGGCATCGACACTTTTATGTACGGAATTTATAGAAAATCGGCGCCATCAAGCGTCACACAATAAATATACTACCAAGTAGATACAAAATAAATATAAAAAAAAGCATCCAAACGATATGAAATGGAATGAAGTGTATAAAGTAACTTTTGCTACGAAGGCAAATTGAGTCGCGCCGTACTCGCACTCGTCGTGTTCACTGTTCACTCTCTTGCTGCTGCTTCTACTGCCGTTCATTCTCTCTTGTGCACGCTCGCATTCGATAGTTCATGTGCTTTAGCGTTCATAAGAATTAAATGTGCACACTGGCAGACACACACACTGAGGCGGGCGCACGGGCAAAACAGTGAACGAGCGGACAACAGCAGCAGCAACGGCAGCAGTACTCAGTTTGGTTTCACACAGCCATAAGCATTGATGCGCATCAAAATGTACGTCGATTATGTAGAAAATGGTTTTGTTGTTGCTTTATTATGCTATTATGGTTTGCGATTTTGGCACGGCTTGTGTTGCGCTATGTTCACGTTCTTCAACGACGAAGTAGCTCTTTTCTAGCGTGTCGTGTCCGGATGATGTTTTTGATATGCGACTTTTTTTTCACATCGTTTACAAGAAAATCGAATTACGTTTTGCAATCTGAATGTTTGCTGCTGCTGCTGCTGCTGCTGTTCCCCTTGCCAGCGATTAGATGGTTTCGATCTATTGTTATTTATTTTTTTTTGTTTTTTCTGTACTTTCCACTGTTTACCTTCAATCCAACGACGCGAACGTTGCGATGTCGAACCAAATCTCAGCGAATAATTCTTCAAATTGAACGCAGTCAATTCTTCTAATGGTTGAATAAATGGAAATGAGCTGGGGCAGTTCATTGGCAATTCAAAAGAAGCAGATTCAGATGGATTTTATTAAGTAATCGTCGGCTCAAAGGTATCAGCTTGTCATAAAAACAAAGGAAAATTATCAGGTAAACGATTATCTCGAAGATTAATGCAAAGACCTTTTTCTTTGCTAATTATAATTGTGTATGATCAATTCGCTTGTGAATCCGGCTCTTGTTTCACCGTTTGTTTGTTTTTTTTCTCTTCTTTTCTCTTCTCTTCTCTTCTCTTCTTCGAAAAGTTTTGCCCTTTTTTCCCGTCCCAAAAGACATCTCGGCCTTTATACGAGCCACATGGAAATGTTTTAATATAACTTTTATAATGTACTTAGTGTTTATGTATATGTTTTTCTTTCTCTTCAGTTTCGTCGATGGTGCGACTTTGCATAAACCGAGTTCGGTCGGTCGGTTGGTTGGTTGGTAGATCCGTTTGCTGGATTTTTGCATTTGATTTGCTCTTTGTATTCTTCGGATTCTTTGTTCGATTCACCACTTAATTCGTTTCGACGGTTTCATTTGCTGCTACTTTGCGTTGGCTCTCTTGTCTTGTTCTGTCTCGTGCGCGCGCCCGTACGCCATACGTTTGCCATTGTTTGACGGCGACGACGACGACGACGACGACAGCGGTGGCGGCGGCATTCAAACCGTACACGATACGTACAAATGGAAGAACGACCTAGCCGTTGACCTGTTTTCCAAGGATGAAGCAACGGTTATTAATTTGGATTTCTTTTCTTTTTCTTGCCTCTTCTTCTTCTTCTTCTTCTCTTCGCTCTATTCATCGTTACTGTTGTTACCACTTCTTTTTTCATTTATCTGTCGATTTCTGTATTTCTACTGTGTATCTGCTGTTGATGTTACTCGTGCTCGTGCTAGTGTTTTGAACTTATTGTTCGCGCAACGTGGTGATTTGTGTGCCTTTTACACCAGCGTCGAATTGGTGCTAGTACATGGCATGGAATCAGTCAAAGAAAAAGATGGAATGTCACGATTACCTTATGCGCGAGCTCAACCATCAACGTCGGCCACAATTTCAATCAAAATCCACACACATGTTCCACATGACTAGCGACGACAATCATGTCGAACGAAATCGTGCAATTTAATCGAATCTTTGCATATACATTTCAATTCAATGGAGAAAAATTACGCTCTGTTTTTTTGCGTTGCTCTTGTTGTTGTTGTTGTACACATATTATTGTTGCCATTGCTGGGCTGTTGTTGTTCGTTTTCAACAATAATTCTTTTCTAAAAATGGGTAAACTTAAATCGCTTGTTTCGCTTGAGCGCACGCTTTATACGCGCGACATTATGTGTACATATTGCTTGAGAAATCGGTGGCCGCGAGCTCATACATCCAATAGTATGTGTTAATTTGTCAAATCAACTCATTTGTCGCTAGTGTAACACACCGGCACAATGTCAATTTAGCACATCGCATGTTTCCATTGTGGCAATCAAGTGGATACAACATTTCTTTCTGGTTCTGGTGCGTGTGCCATTTTTACCTATAGTAATACATTTTATTAATCAACTGCTAAATGCTTCAGTACATACATCAGGCACATACACATACACAATTGGCTGGCGCAAATGTGGCGCATGCGATATTCAGTTTTGATTAACAAAACCGTCCAACATGAAAAATGCCATTTATTTGGTAATTGACTTCATATGTTTTGTCAGCTCGGGCTTTCAATTCATCAGTTGACTGTATAATTGATTAAAACAAATGCCAAAGTGCTCATCAAAGCACACGGAAGTGTGACACTCTTAATTGCCAGTGAACGAAAACCAATTTAAAACGAATCATTTTTATTTTAGCTCATTCATGGGATTGAAATGAGATAAGCCAAAGGTCATAGCAATTTTTGGTCAAAGTTCAAATTTGGCTCGAACACATTGTTTTTCATGTTTTGTTTTGATTTCTCGCGAAATAACTCACGACTCTGTCGAAAGAACTTTTCGCGACAGATCGTATTGCAGCCATTCACAAGTCGATGCATGTTTTCAGTTATCAACTGCACCGTTTTTTACGATCTGGAGTTTGTTTTTAAAGTAGAACTCTACAATTGATTTTTATGTCAGTTAAAATTTCTTAGAAACTGATGACTAAAAATGATGCATAAAGAAGAAACAAAACGATACTGCATTGCTCGATGCTTCGCATGAATAAGGACAATGCACTTTGAACACGTTGAAGAGAAAGACCAAACCGCATTTGGTAATGAAAAAAAAACAAGACGGTGCAGATTCTTGAGCGGAGAAAAGAATGCACGGCCGATACGGAATGGATATCGAAATCTTACTGGGTGGGCCGAAATGGTGTTTTATGAGCTCTAAAAAAGGCAAACCTGAAGATTAACACCAAGACAAATGATGCGCATCATCGTTCATTTTAATGGCAACGTTTCGCATTAAATCGGACGTTACTTAACACCACAACTGACATCCAAAGTGCTTTTTGTCCACTGTGTTTTGGTTGAATTTGTTGCTTTATATTTTTTAGTTGACATTCTCACACATGCGAAAAAGTTTCGCAGCTGGCTCCGGAATGAACAGATCAGCTCGGCAACATCGAAACTAAAATGAAATGGACAAAAAAAAGTTGTTCGGCTCACATAATCCCTGCGACAGTATTTTTAAGCCCCTCTCGGTTAAAATTTATTAATTATTCGTGACAATGTGACATCTGACTCTCCTTCATTTTTACACAACGAAATGGAACCGAAATCATTCGGGACACACATAGGTGGACAAAAAAAAAACGTTATTCCTCATCACTAAATCATTAATAACATTTTTTGTTTACCACATGACAAAAAATCATAGCAACTGCATGGTGATGTTCAGTGTTCACTACTTGGATATCCTTTTTTTTGGTTTTCGGTTCGATTTCTTGCTTCGGTCATAATAAGTTTTATGTAATGAAACATTTGTGGAGCATTATTTTTTTTTTAAAGTTTTATTCGTTCATATTGTTAGCTGGATGTTGAGCTCCAATATTAACAGCGGTAATGACATACATTTGAATTTAAGTAAGAAAAAGACAAACGAAATTTCACGATTTTGAAGAATGAGCCTACGGAAAAGTTCAATAATCTTTTGAATCGAACAATTTTTCATCTCCGATTGTCTCATACACCGATTTTGTTTTAATAGCAACAATGTTTTTGTGGAGATTAACTGCTAGCTCGTACTTGGTGAATGGTGATATTTTACGATAGCGAAAAAAACTACAATTTATAATCATCGCAAACTTTTCATCACACATTTTAGATATCGTGTCAAGAGGAACTTGATCATTGATGGAACGATGAAGCTCTGAAGATGATGGGAGAGATCCATTCTGTTTTTCGGATGGATACGTTTTGAATGCAGTGAGATTGAAATCCCGTAGAATAATCTCACGAAATATTTGCACGGCACATAGGTCTTCACACAAATGTAAGTACTCTTGCCAGTCCACGTTCTGCAATAGTTTTGAAATCAATTTTACATTTTGGTTTTGAAGTTTTAGAGTTATCGTATGCATTCAGTCAGTGTTGCTTACGTTGGATGGAGCAGAAGGAATATTATTATTGAATCGTCCATTATGAACAGCCACAAAATGTCCTGCTGAGCCTCCATACATTTTTTCATACTGACGAGACATTTTGTTGATCGTTTCATCATCCAAGGATCGATTTTCATTGTACATTTTGATGGCATTCAAAGTGCTGTTATCTCCGGTCCATACCGCATATGCTTCAATGAATTTACTCAGGCCAGCTCCATAGATAGAAAAAGCACTTACATTGGCCTCAATGGGTGGAGAGGTGGAATCCTGTTTTGGTAGAAAGTAAAATTTTGGACGAATGAGTCAAAATGAATTATTTGATAAAAAAGTATCCTTAACAATGTTCTCCATGGTAAACTGAAACTGATTTTCATCATGAAATTTCTTGAATTGAAATAATTGTACATTCATTTATTCGAAATATTCAACTTTCTGCAGAAAATTTGCAACTAGAACAGTTTACATTATATTAACTTGAAATTTGGATGAAAAATTAACTCAAAATTTGTTAAAGAAAATGAAACAAGTTCATTTGAAACACACTCACTTCATTTCCGGTGGAAGTATATTCCGTACCATTCTGTAGTGCAAGACCTTTAAACATATATTGAAAAATGGTTCGTCATTCACAATTTTGTAAACTAATTTTGACATTGTTAACATCTACTATAAGATATTATGACTGTTCAACAAAATTACACTTACTTGATTCAGTAACTTCGTTTACTTCAGTGATTTCAGTGGAATCAAGGGGTGCAGCTAGAGCACAACCAACAATTAGAAAAACTATTGCCGCTGAAAATAAAATTGATTCCATTTCTTTAGTTTAGTTTGATGTTGCAGCCTCAACGACCGAAAAATACAAATGGTCATTTTCTTCCGGAAAAATATGTCAAAAGTCGAAGATAAAATCAACATGGACGTTAACGATGTCGCCAAAATGTTCAAAAATATCATGTTAGTGTAGCCAGAACGAAAAGATAAACACTCGGTGCGATGTGCAGAGATACTGTATACAAAATACATTATTGGGCTTATTTGTGTTTATTTGCAGCTCTGTGTGTGAATTTGCATTTAAGCTGGGGATTAAAATATTTCATCAGGTAAGAATGTGTTTTCATGCTACTCAACAATTTACCTGTTAAGTGTAGTAAGTAACATTACTTTGCCAATAGTGCACCAAAAACATGATCGATCAACTGTTTTTAAGCACTTAGTCTGAATTATAAGAACACATTTGGTAGATACCCGTGTGCAAATGAAGTGACTGACAGTCATTCAGTTGTATGTAGCTGCAAATAACTAAAACTGGCTAAGTTGATTTAATTCAAAAATGTTGTATAGAAACAATCACTTTTAGTTATTCTTTCAGCCAGTCGTCTAATTTCGGACTTTTTGGCTACTAGATGACTATAACTGAAGTTGACTACAGTCGAATATTTTGTTCGTGATAATCACTTTTAGTCAGTAATAGTCAGCCAAAAAGTCCGAAATTAGGCGGCTGGCTAGTCAGTCACAAATTTTTCACACGGGTATGCATGGTATTTCGAGAAGTTATGCATTCTAGAGATTTACATTCAGAGACTTAGAACATTAGAGTTACTTTATGTTACAACTACTACATGTAATTGTTTCAAAATTCAGGGTAAATTTTCATTCAAAAATTGAAATAAGAATTCAACGAAAAATGGAATTTCACTTGTGCGTCAAATTCACGTCCAGTGTGAGCGTGGGTGAAGCTATGTCGATTGATACAAAAAAGTGGACTCTAAAAGGTGGTATTTAACGTCGGTATCATTTTTCATCGACGTTTACTAATCGTGTAAAGAAGAGTATAGCAACAACACACACCTATAGAATGGCTTCATAAATATCTAGTCAATCCTCATAGAATAGTTTATGAATCAATGGAAATAGTAAGCAATCGCGTGTATCAATCATTGTTCAATCGACATTGGAACCGCTTTCAAAATAACTCTTTCAAATTCCTTGATACTAATGGCTCCTCGAATACGTTTGCAAAATATTTCAATCTTTTCTTTCAAACAAAATACGGTAAAAATCGATTTAAACACATCATACACGTCACCTCAGCTGATGTCACTGATTTGTACGAACATTGAGATCATCTTTTGACGATGTTTGTATATTCAATTTCCTGTGTTTCCGAGCGTTTTGATCAATTTATACCTTTTTCAAACGGAGCCAGATTAATATGGATGGCTGTATGATATTTCCATAGCATTTGCATGAAACAATTACACCGAAAAGAATGATGTATTATTTACGAAGAATAAAGCAGTTAATCTTCAACAATGTCACAACATTCAATCATTCAGTCGATATAGCATATGTTATTATGTCTGTTGTCGTATACTTGTCACATCGAATCATATACATAAGTAAATTATCGTGCTGTAGTAACACCGATAGTGGTTTCCGGATAGCGTGTGTGTACCTTATCAATTACGTTCATGCGTGATTCATTGGGACTGAAAATGTTGAAACGTAAATATACTATGTTTACTACATCGTTTAATGTGATTTGTGAACATATTCGCCCAAGCTATTGACGGTTTAAGTGTTTTTCACAAATTCTTTTCCATTTCATTGCTTAAAAATAGAAAGATGGTTCACTTTTTCAATGGTATCAAGGACAACATGAAATCGATTTATAGACTGTAATAAGATGTTACATGTCATATGTAAATTACGTAACACTTCCCACCAATGAATCACAATCGCTCTCATCGGAATCTCATGTTGTTCCAGGACGTGTATGATTTTATTATCATTATGCCGAACCGTATCAAAGTGAATTCTGAGGTTAAGTTTCTTGCAAAATGCTAAACCAGTTGATCCATTTCTGGGTTGGCTTGCGGTTTTACATATATAATAAATACATTTGATTAACGGGAAAATAATTGCAAATACCGCAATCGAGAAACCAAATAATTAACGTACACGCATCCACCAACCGCGCAAATACTGCTACATTAGCTTTGCTGAACCATCGATATTTCGTTCATTTCCCATCGATATTTTGAAAATGTATTTCAATTTCGCATCAATTAAGCATATTGTATTCATAGATTTTCGGGTATGATATGTTGAGAGGGAGAGAAAGAGAGAAAGAGAGAGAGAGAGAAAAAAAGCCACGAACGAGTATGGAGATAAAAACAAACGAAACCACCACAAAAACCCGAAATAATTTGCTGAAAAATGTTGTGGCACGATATGCTTTCAAATTCTGTACCGTATAGATAGATAATCGTGTAATATGGATCGCATGAGTGGTTTCTGGGGAGAAAAAAGATCCCATTAGCAAGCACATTTAATTGTACAGCTATTGCCACATTAATCATATATTCACAAAATGTATGAAAACCAATAATCGTACAAAAAAAACACACACACACATTTGAATGGCGCATAAAACGTATGGCGTCTGAACGTGTTTATTCATGTTTCATGGAATTATAATGAATCTGTTTTTCTTTCAACACACATATCTTTGCCGTTCATGTTTGTTTGGTGTTGTTCTTGTCGTCGTCATCGTTAGTTATCGCAAAAGAAGAATTCGAAGCACAGAAACCGAAGGAAGATTTTCGGTTTCGCACAGAGAGCATATTTAGACAGGCGCTGTGGCGTTGGCATTGAATTTCCGTGGATACACAAAATTCGTCGAACGAAAAAAAAATACAAACGAACGTTGAGTAGATACGTTCGTTGCCAAGTAGCAAAGCATTGCGTGCAAAGTTCATACACCAATATTCCAAAAATCCATAATACAAAGTTCCTTTTTTTTCCGTCTAGGCTATTGATATACATGCAGTTGGCCCTGTCATTTTGCCACGAAAAATGTTCTTCTTGCGCTCTGCGCATTGAACTGACTGGCTGGTTGGCTGGCTGTGTGTTTAACGTACTCGGCCGCTTTGCGTTCAACATATTTTCACTTTGTATCGTGCGCCACTTCTTTTTTCTGTCTTCGGTTTCATTTATCGTTGTTCGTTTCATTTTTGTGAAATGTATGTCATTTTTCTCTATTTCCAGCTAACGGTTGTACTTTTTCAACAACAACATCATTATTCTTCATGTGTGCGATGAAATTTATGCACATTGGCTACGGCTTATGTAAACCGTTTCAAGTGAAAATCAAACACAATCATAAAACGATCAAAATATTTCGCCCAAAAACAAAAACAAAATATGAGCAATAAAACAACAAAACGAAAAAGAAAACAGTGGCTGTGATCCGGAAGCCAAAACCACACACAGTAATGAAGTCACAATCGAATCAACGCAACAAAAATGTGAACAATTCCACCAAAAATCCCATTGAAGACGCTAAATAATTTACACATAACAAAGATCTTGATAGTATCTCAACGACAGTTTGGACTAGTTTCCACTTTGTTTCTTCCATCATTAATTCTGCGGCTACCACTGCTGCTGCTGTCATGGTATGTGTATGTTTCGATTTCGTACCTAAATGTGTACACATTCTCTCTAGTTAGCTTCTTATATTCTGCGCTTAATCGGCATTTGCTCCATATTCATTGTTCTCTGTTTGGTTTCAATGTTGCGCGCTTTGTTTGACAAACAACTCTATTTTTTTCTTCTGTTGCTGTTGTGCGATATTCAATTTTTTCTTCTCTTTCTCTTCATCATTTGACACGCCAAACACACATCAAATGTCATCACTGCCGCTGTGTTTTTTGTGTTGTGTTTTCATTTCACAAGTAATTCGTCTTTTGCTCGAGCACACTCGTTCAACGGCAGTTCACAATGGATGAAAGTTTTGATGGATGGCGGCATGATTACATCAACACGCCAAATTGATATCGATAAACCATAACATTCAAGCGAAAGAGACGAAGAATGAAAAGCAACAAAAAAAAAATACAAATGAGCAGCACACGAAAACAAAAGTCGGAGTCTCAAGTAAATAAAAATTGAATGAATGTCAGAAGTTTTCGAAATACTTTTAATGAAGTTTGGTTGAAAGGTTCGACGTTGGAATTTTTCAACTTAGATTAAGATTCATGCCAGTTTAATTGATTTAATTGAGCGGAATATTAATTGCTCATGAGCTGCTGCTGCTGCCCAACCAATTTATGCAGTGGAAAAATGAGTTCGTTTTTTTTTGTGTGAAATTTTTTTCGTTTAAGTTTTTAAAAAATGCAACCCTTTGGTTTGGGCGCTCACTTTTGTGACCATTGACCAGGTCCGAAGCCAAAGCTGGCAAAACGTTTGTCAAAACAAAAAATTCGATTTGCTCATGCATACAAGCGTTCTACATTAAACTAAATTCGGTAGTTGAGTGTTCCTTTTTGGCTTTTCAACGTTCGTGCGCGCACGCACGTGCGTTAGCAAGTGAGCACCTCATTCCATTCGCAAACAATGGCACGTATTGTGATTGTAACGGGTGAGTTTTCTTCAACGAGACCGTCATAGACTCGTGAATGTTAAATGCAATGTAAATCGTCACAAGTCAATTGGAAATGGAATAATACAATAATTACATAGATCGTGAATTGATGGATTGAACATGCGGTTAGTGGAGTTTGTTGTGGGTTTGCTTCAATTTCTACAATATACTTTGTTTATTCTTTTATTGCACTTGATGACTCTTCATTACCGTCATGAGTGTGCGTTGTTGTGGGTGCTTCATTTGAACAATCGACCGTAGTATGTTGATGTGCATAAATTCGTACAATGTGCGTGTACCCGTTACACGGAGCGAAAGAAGAGTTGGTAAATGGCTAGCGTGTTCACCAATGTGTTCCGTAATC